CTTACATAGACCACAGCATTTCTTTTATGATACATTTTTATTATTTTGAAATGATTATACACAGAACTGAAAATATTCTTATGAATATTTTCTTATGGGCTTCTTATGAGCAGTTTTTTAATTCAAGAATCACACATTAAAAAGAGCTTCTTTGTCTTCATATGTGGCAGATTTAAATTTCTCTAATTTTACTCTGTATAAATTGCTTTCTACCCCTCTGAGAAACAATGAAAAGGTGAATAGAGCTGGGAAAATGAAGATTGAGTTTTACTGCAACTAGTGCTGTGGTCTTAAAGGAAGAAGTGATTCATTTCTCATCTACCTAGACAATGCTTAGGCAGTAATTAAGGGCTAAGAATTTAGAATCCACTGCCATGTCTTTGAAGCCTTCTTAGAGTATTGAGAACCTTAGGACTGATGATTCTAGCACTAGCTAATAGTAGAGCTCACCAGTATTTCTGGGTTCCACTGTTAAGTCACAGACATGAATAAATTGGGGAAACAAAGACATATGCAGGAAGGTGAATCTGAGAGCATTTGGTAAAATGCCGAAGCATTTACTCTAGGAAAGTGGCAACAGTGCCATAATTTTATTTTTCCCTGATGAGCTATCCACTTTCAAATAAATGTTAACTCAAATTCTAAGAAAAAAGATGTGAAGGGCATCACATGAATTTAACTAAATTATTTGCCAACTTAGCAAATAATTTAAAGACCATTTTTTGAAAATTTCTAAGATGAGCTCCTGCATAATGGTTCACTTTGATTTAATCTGCTCAAAATGCCCCAGATTATTCCAAGGTTCACAAACTTGAATGCCTTCAGGAACTATAAAAGTAAGACTATAGAATGTGGTAAGGACTCTGAAAGTGAAGAAGATTTGACATAATTTTTTTTAATGTTGTGACCAAGCAAAATGTATATGTAAGTTGAACTGGCCTAATTCATTAGTTTATAACCTCAAGCCTATCTTTTTTTAAATTTACTGAAGACTTTCAAAAGTTTTTTTTATAAGATTTTAGATGAAACCTGAATTTCATAATTAAATCAAATGTCTGTATTTTGTGAGTTCCACTGAGAGTGTTTCTACACATGGCACTAACTGTGTGTTGTATGTAGTGAATATTTGTCACTCAACTAAAAATCACATATTCTTTTTTGCCCCTTTAATTTTTGATCAAGAACCTGCTTTAACTTCAAGACTGGATACATAATTACCATTTAATAACCAGTGCTTTATTGTAGTTTCTCTGCCAGTTTTTTTTAAAACCCTGTTTTTTGTTGATATTTGCTCTTTTCTAACATTGTGTTTAATTTTTGAGTTTCATTAATTCATTATAAGACAGGAAATACTAAGATTTAAATCTATACTTGTTATGGACGTACTTTGGATCATCCTTCAAGGAAAGAGAGTTTTTTGTTTGTTTGTTTTTAACATCTTTATTGGAGTATAATTGCTTTACAATGGTGTGTTAGTTTCTGCTTTATAACAAAATCAATCAGCTATACATATACATATATCCCCGTATCTCCTCCCTCTTGTGTCTGCATATTTTTTTTTTTAGATTCCATATATATGTGTTAGCATACGGTATTTGTCTTTCTCTTTCTGACTTACTTCACTCTGTATGACAGACTCTAGGTCCATCCACCTCACTGCAAATAACTCAATTTCGTTTCTTTTTATGGCTGAGTACTATTCCATTGTATATATGTGCCACATCTTCTTTGAAGTAATGAGATAGTTTTATGTTACAAATTTGGCTTTCTCAGTTTGTGTTTAAAAATCTGCAGTATGACAAACTGTGCTTTATAGTAATTTTCTTTGCCTCCACAGGATGATAGTATTTCTTACCAACTACTATCCCCTCTTGCTGATTGTTTACCCTCTTTTGAAAATAGGAAGAAAACTGGTACTTTAAATACCAGCTTGGGATGTTTTTATTTTTAATGGAGGGTTGTTCTTTACCCACCCTCTACTGTCTCATCCCCTAGAAAACCATAGCATCTGTAAAAACTAAGCTTTAAAGGGCTTTTGTACATATGGAAGTTTGAGCATATAATAAGCAAATAAGCTGGCTACATATCTAGGCGAATTAAGAACACTTTTTTTTTTGATCACTCCAAATTTATGTTTATTTTAACTTGTTTACTTTTTACTATTAACTGAGTATAACTTTTTAAAAAAATTTTTATTAGGGTATAAAATTTTTATTGGGGTATATAGTTCATTTACAGTGTTGTGAAGAACACTTTTTAAAAAGTGTTTCAGGGGCTTCCCTGGTGGCGCAGTGGTTGACAGTCCACCTGCCGATGCAGGGGACACGGGTTCGTGCCCCGGTCCGGGAAGATCCCACATGCCACGGAGAGGGCTGGGCCCGTGAGCCATGACTGCTGAGCCTGCGCATCCGGAGCCTGTGCTCCGCAATGGGAGAGGACACAACAGTGAGAGGCCCGCGTACCACAAAAAAAAAAAAAAAGTGTTTCAGGATTCCTTTGAGAGTGTATTTCCTCTTTATTAAGACTTGGTCTCACTTGAAATGAAAATAAAAGAGAGAGAGAGAAAGAGAGCACCAATTGGTGTTAAAATTGAGCTTAGAGTCTTGAAAGATTGTGAAAAAAACTGTTTCCTGTGTGTCATTTTCAGAACACCTTTTTATCCCCTGCAGATTGTACTTAATTTTAATGTTTTCCTGGTTAAAAGTAAGAGTGAAAGAGGTTTGAAACACTTCCCCATTCACTCCCCCACCCACATCATTGATGTGTAGCTGGTTAATGTTCTGTTTGAAATAGTCGGACTTGGAATACCCATGGGATGTTTCTAATAAAGCATGACATTCCAGGTTTATGATGCTGGGCTTATAATTAAGAATAGGGAAAATTATTTTTGAGCAAAATGAAGTCTGCGGCCATCTATTTAATATAACATTGTTTAATGGCCTCAGTTCTTGAAACTTTACATATTCAAAAATACCACTTACTTGAAGAGTTTGGTGAGACGTTAATACTATGTGCCAGAACCTGTGTCAAGCACCCACAAAACTTAACATGATACATAACTTAACATGATACATAAGAGCCTAAACTTCAAGGAGTTTGGATAGGAGTGCTATAAACTTATAAGTGAATAAACATAATTCATGATAAATACAAGGTGCTATGAGAGAAACAGGGTGACCTGTACTTCTTTTCTGAGAAAGATGACATTTAAGCTAAGACCAAAATGAGAAAGGCACTAAATTTTTTTTTTTTTTTTTTTTTTTTTTTTGCGGTACGCGGGCCTCTCACTGTTGTGGCCTCTCCCGGAGCACGGGTTCTGGACGCGCAGGCTCAGCGGCCATGGCTCACGGGCCCAGCCACTCTGCGGCATGTGGGATCTTCCCAGACTGGGGCACGAACCATGTCCCCTGCATCGGCAGGCGGACTCTCAACCACTGCACCACCAGGGAAGCCCAGGCACTAAATTTGATATGAATGATATAGCTAGTTAATTAGTAGTTAGGTGGTACATTTTTACATACATTAACGAATACCACATATTGTGCACTGGCCATTTAGATCAATAGTCTAAAGATTTGAGTTTTGAGTTGAATGAACATCTTAATAGACTATAAAGAAACAGTCTTCTGGGATTCATTTTCTGAAATGTTTTATGAGTTTGTATGATTTTTACTTCTATATTTTTGTCTTTATTTTGATGTGGTCAAATGTCAATCTTTTTTTTTTAACATCTTTATTGGATTATAATTGCTTTACAGTGGTGTGTTAGTTTCTGCTTTATAACAAAGTGAATCAGTTATACATATACATATGTTCCCATATCTCTTCCCTCTTGCGTCTCCCTCCCTCACACCCTCCCTATCCCACCCCTCTAGGTGGTCACAAAGCACCGAGTTGATTTGTCTTTATTTTGATGTGGTCAAATGTCAATCTTAACAAAAAATTGAAAAAGATTTTTTAATTAGAATGTCCTATCCCCGCTAGACTAGGTTTAATTTTCACTTTTTCTAGTTTTCTCTTGCTTAATTTTTGTCGAACTATTTGATACATATGCAGCTTGATATTTGAAATGAATTTGTAAACTAAATTTCTTTTTTCCCAGATAGTGAACCAGTTGTCCTAGCACCTTATAATGTTGATTTGATTTTGCTACATCCTAATAATTTTTTTAAATTATCTAACATGTCAGTATGGTCTTGTATTAATAAGCCAATTAGTTGATTATGGACTTAAATGTTTTACTACATGTTATGTCCAGTTTTTTATCATTGTTTCCTATTAATTTCTATAGCTTATTTTTATTTATTTGTTTTTCTAGATAAACTTTAGATACATTCTGTCATGTTCCGAGAACAAATACTAGTTTTGGTTGGAATTCTATAAACCTACACATTAACTGACACTTTCATAATTTTTACAAAGAATTAATATTACTTAAAGGGCCACTTACTGAACTTCAGTGGCCTGTGATTATGACCAAGGAATAAAGTTAACAAAAATCCTTTTGGCATAAAATTATTGTTTCATATTCAGAATGGTGCATCTAAATTCTTGTCCCTATCAGACTAACATTGGTTAATATTTTGTTGATATTGTCTACAGTGAAGTCATTCAAGATTATTTTAAAGCCTTATTCTTGTAATATACCGTAAGCTTTGAAATTATTTTATTTTCTACTTTTTGTATAATGAGCCATATTTCATTTGCATTTAATTTTTATAATTCATTAGGTTGTAAATAAAAGCAAAATTGTTCTTTCTTTTTGTCATATATAAAATTCTTTTTGTTATATCCTAACATTTTTATTAGTAAATCATTGCTGTGTAATAATCTTAGGAAATACTTAATATTATATTGTTTAGGAAGTATTTAGATTATATTTTATACTAGTATAAAATTGATGAATACCATACATTCAACTTGCGAATACTGGCATAAAATGATATTAATATTTTCTTTCTTTCTTTCTTTCTTTTTTTTCCTACTTTCCCAATTCACAGTGATGCGGTTGACTAAGCCTACTTTATTCACCAATATTCCAGTAACATGTGAAGAGAAAGACTTGCCTGGTATGACACATGCTTTATCCTACTTGCACCTAGGGAAAAGTTGAAACCTGGATTACCTTACCTTGGAATAAGCCTAACCTTGCCAATCTTATGCTAACTCTTTGCTGCATTATTTGTTGCCTGTTTTTGTACATGTGAATGGTGGCCATCTGAGTAATAGGTCTCAGTCACAATCTATACATCAAAATACTATTGATATCCCGTGGCAACTAGAGACTTTTTTAGTAAAAATACATTCCTCGTAATGACACTATTAAAATTTCATTTATCCTTAGATGTTCCATCAATGCTTGTTAGCATTCCCTTTATTTAAAAATCATTGGAGCTTTCTATATATCTCATGACCTACATTTTCCTTTGTTCCTGAAGTGTTCATTTTCTGTAGAAACAGAATTTTTTTGGAGTGCATTTGTTGAAGATTAGAAATTATATTTTTTAATATAATTTTTGTTATGAGATTTTCTTTTAAAATATCTCTCCCAGCTGTTTCTTCACATAAATAAAAGTTATTTACAAGGTAGGTGTTAGAATTTGATGTTTTTGTCTTTCTACAGGAGACCTCTTTAACCAGCTCATGAGAGATGATCCTTCAACTGTAAATGGTGCAGAGATTTTAATGTTGGGAGAAATGTTGACTTTACCACAGAATTTTGGGTAAGAATGATATGTTCACATTAGAAACACAACAACACTCTGAAGCCATTACAAATCATGTTTTCAAAAAGTAACTATGGGATGGGAAAATGCTCATGATACATGTATGTGGCTGAAAACAAAAAAAAGTTTTACCAAAATTATACTATGTGATTCTGTTTTGTTTTTCTTTAATTAAAAAAATAAGATGCACACCAAAATATTAACAGTGGTTCCTAGGGTGGTAGAATTTTAACTTTCTTCTTTAGATCTTATTATATTTTTTAATGCCTACATATTCCTTTTATTTTAACTGATTTAATTTCAGTGTCTTTCAGAAGCAGCTCTTTTATTCACCACCACAGCCCTTTACCAACTTAAGTTATTGGACTTGTCAGCTCATTAGGAGTTCTAAATATTTTATTCCTTGTCTTGCTCTTAGCTATTCTCTTACTCTAGATTATTACTGAGGTAGAAGTCCCTGGTTCCATTCTGTTTGCAACTGAGACAATTTGAGACCAAAAGGAATTTTTCAGGTTTTTTCAAAAGGTTTACAGAATGTGGTCATTGACTGGTGTCTTGAAAGCTTAGAAATATATTCATGTAAAAAACGTATTCATATTGGGCTTCCCTGGTGGCGCAGTGGTTGAGAGTCCGCCTGCCGATGCAGGGGACACGGGTTCGTGCCCCGGTCTGGGAAGATCCCACATGCCGCGGAGCGGCTGAGCCCGTGAGCCATGGCCGCTGAGCCTGTGCATCCGGAGCCTGTGCTCCGCAGAGGGAGAGGCCACAACAGTGAGAGGCCCGCATACCGCAAAAAAAAAAAAAAAAGTGTTCATATTAAAATATTTTTATAAATTTATCTACATATATTTGTATGTTTATATGCATTATATATATAACATATACTTATAAAGTAATGCCACTAGTCATTATTTTTATTAGAATGACTTAGAAAAATAAAAATAAAATAAATTGGTAAAAAATACTCTGAGATCAATAACTTGGTCTCTTCTAGATTCGGGGCATAAGTTATTTCAAAAAGTGCCTTTCTCTAGCCTCCTCAGTATCAAATCTTCAGACTCTTAACATGGATCTGATTTCAATGACATTTTTAGGAGGGCTGGCAGTTTTGGCAGTAGTTGAGGGTCAAGATATATAGCATGTTTTATAGATTAAATCTGTATTTTTAATTGCACTAGGTAATGAGTGAGCAGCCTAGTATAAACAAAGAAATATTGAAATAGTATTTCACCTGATCTCTATCCTTTAGTAATTTCTCCATTTGACGTTCTCAGTGGTGCACAAATAGAAGATTTATGATAAAAGTTGAATGGATTTCTGCCTAAAAATTTATTTTATTTCACAGGAATATATTTTTGGGAGAGACCTTTTCCAGTTATATCAGCGTTCATAATGATAGCAATCAAGTTGTAAAAGATATATTGGTTAAAGTAAGTGGCATTCTTATTTGGGAGAATTTTTTTTAACTTTTTGATTTCTCTTCTTATGTTTTGAACCTTCATTAAAATGCCTGCTTGATACTGGACTTTTTAATTGTCATTAATAACAAGTATTAATTGAACACCTAAAGTTCTAAGATGTGCTGTGCACAGAATCATTTTTCCTTATCCTCATATTTGTGATAGCTTGGATGAGAAAATGTACCAAAGGTAAATAACACTTTAAATTTTTGTTAATAATTTGTGATTAACATAATAAAATTTGAAAGAGGAGGAAAGATCACTGGGGATTGCATCATTCAAGAAGGCTTATTGAAGGAGAGGGAGCACAAGAGGATCTCGAAAGAACAGCAGGATTTAGAAGAAAAGACAAAGAGGGACAAGGTAATCGGAAGCAGAGACATAGGAATACGTAATGTGTTCTTGTAGCAGTGAACAGAATTCACTTAGTAAGAGTAGGTAAGGTTGTAGAGATATGTAGTAGCCATACAGTGGAGCATCTTAAAAGCAAGACTAAGGCTAAGGTTATTTTAAGACAGTGTGCAGTCAGTGGAGACCTTTGAGCAGAGGTATTCAGGCTATGTTGGAAGACTGTCATGAAAGCATTGTATGGGATGGTTTGTAGGAAATAGGCCAATTAGAATATTCTTGCAGTTTTGAGAAATCAAGAGAGAGAATATGCTAGCTCAGTTAAACAACTGGAAATTTATTCCCAAAAAGAAAGGACATAAAAAAAGAAAAAAATCATGGTATGTTGTTGAGAAGTGATCAAACCTGTCTTCCAGTGGTGAGTTTAGGTCACTAGAGCATCGCCTATGGAAGGGAAAGGGAAGTCCAGTTAGAATGAGATTGAAAAATGATCAGCAAGTACTAGAATTGAAAAGGATCTCAGAGAGAAAATATTCCAAGTTCCGTATATGACCCAACTTCCAGAAACTGGATGCAAATTTTTGCATACATGTACATATGTTTATCACTCTATGGTTAGGGTTTCTGCCTTTCATTAGATCAGGAGTTGGCAAACTACAGCGTGCAGGCCAAATTTGATCCATTGCCTGTTTTTGCAAGACAGTATGAAGCTATGCTAAGAATGAGCTAAGAAAGGTTTTACATTTTTAAATGATTGAAAAGAAACAAAAGCTTATTTTGTGATGTGAAAATTATATAAAATTCAAATTTCAGTCCGTAAGTAAAATTTTATTGACACATAGCCACACTCATCCGTTTATGTATTATCTGTGGCAGATTTCAAGCTACAACATCAGAATTGTGTAGTTGCAACAAACTGTATGACCTGCAAAGTCTAAAATATTTGCTCTCTGGCCTTTTAAAGGAAAAGTTTGCTGACCTCTGCATTTGATTATGAAAAGGACTGACTTTCAGAACTTCGAGAATGTATACTTTTTTCCTGTCATACAGTTCGTATTCAGTAAATGTTGAGCTTATTTTTGTAAGATGAATAAATCAGCAAATATGTGTAATTTAAGTCAATGTTAAAAAGAACAAATGTTACCATAGTGTATTTCTTATAAAATATGTGATTATACTTCTGTGGGCTCTGCTCAGTTTTAATTTCTATAAAGGCAGTGGTGTCTGGCATAATAACAGAGATAGCTGATGTTTATTCAGCAGTACAGTGCCCACCAAGAGTCTTCTTACTCTTAACTAAGAACTAGCATTTTGTTTATCATTTTACAAACTCCAATTACATATAAACTGGCTCTTCTTTGCCTGCTTTTCTTTAGTTCCCCTTAGTAAATTTTCATTCAAATCTATATTTCCTTGGGTGCTTTATAATTATCTCCAAACGTTTTTTTGAGGGTATTTAATTCACTTTGAATATTGTGTTGCAGTTTTCTTCTGTTTCACTATTGGTTTTGTGTGGCAGTTTGGATCAGTGAATTGTTTAAATTATCATTGTGTGGTCTTTTTTAATAGTATTTTTGTATGGATTAAGACTCTTGCTAGCTTTGCATTCTGTGAAATGCAGTTTGGGGTGCTTTGATATTCTTAGTTCAAGAATACTCTCTTAGAGCCTTGCAAGCAAAGTGTCGTTTCTTTTGGGAGGGTGGTGGAAAAAGAAAGGGTTGAGTGTTCCTCAGTTTTTCTCTTTCTTTTAAGTGACAGCATCCTCAATTTCCTCCTCCTGCTTCATTTTCTCTTCACTGACAGTGTCCAAAAGGTTCTTCTCCTTTTTAACTCTCTTCTTCCCCTGAATTGTTATCTTGCCAGAATTGCCTCTTCACCATTAAACATACTGTTATGTCTCCTGTAGGCTGTGCTCTCATCTTCCAGTAATGCACTTTCTCAGTGTTTTGACACTTAGGATAGACTTTGTCTTTCTGGCAGTACTTTTCATCATTCTTAGGCCTGTCTCTACCTTCCTTTTCTCTCTTAAGCTCAATTTTTCATGAACTTCTCTTGTTCTTTGCAAAGGCTTATGATGAAAGCATGAGAAATAGCTTGCAGAAATTTGAAGTTTAGACATTTGCTGCTCTCTAGCTATACTAACACTGAGTTTGTATAGTTTTTAAATTTTATTTATTTATTTGAGGATGACTCAGGAGATTCAGTTACTCTACTGCCATTACTTCAGCTACTCAGAATTCTGCTCTCAAAAGTTTAATTTTTTATAGCTCTTGGAATTTTGGAATGTGGAAAAGAGATTATGAATCTGTACTCTTTTAATTCCTTTACTGACATCTTAGTGTTGTTTTTGAGAATAAAAATGCTATATAATCTATCATGTTTAACTGCAAACCACTAGGGGGTTTTTTGTTTGTTTTTTAATTGAAAAATAATTTTCAGTGGTAAGTCTGAAAACCTTAGCATGCTACCAAAAAATGAAGTGTTCTATAAACAAAAGACAGCGTAGTGTACTATAAATAAAAAAATAGTACGGACTTCCCTGGTGGTGCAGTGATTGGGAGTCCGCCTGCCAATTCAGGGGACACAGGTTCGAGCTCTGGTCTGGGAAGATCCCACATGCTGGGGAGCAAGCAAGTCTGCGAGCCACAACTACTGAGCCCACATGCCACAACTACTGAAGCCCACGCGCCTAGATCCCGTGCTCCGCAACAAGAGAAGCCACTGCAATGAGTAGCCCGCACACCACAACGAAGAGTAGCCCCCACTCGCCGCAACTAGAGAAAGCCCACGCACAACAAAGACCCAACGCAGCCAAAAATAAATTTATTTTTTAAAAAATAACTTTAGGGCTTCCCTGGTGGCACAGTGGTTGAGAGTCCACCTGCCGATGCAGGGGACATGGGTTCGTGCCCCGGTCCAGTAAGATCCCACATGCCGCAGAGCGGCTGGGTCCGTGAGCCATAGCCGCTGGGCCTGTGCGTCCGGAGCCTGTGCTCCACAACGGGAGAGGCCACAACAGTGAGAGGCCCGCGTACCGCAAAATAAATAAATAACTTTAATGATCTGTACTGTACCATTGGTGGTTTATTTTTATTTTATTTATTTATTTTTGTCTGCATCAGGTCTTAGTTGCAGCTTGCAGCCTTCTCTCTAGTTACATTGCATGGGCTCCAGAGTGCACAGGCTCTGTAGTTGGGGCACGCAGGCTCAGTAACCCCGCAGCATGTGGGATCTTAGTCCCCTGACCAGGTATCAAACTGGCATCCCCTTCACTACAAGATGGATTCTTAACCACGAGACCACCAGGGAAGTCCCTGTACTATTGGTTCTTAAACTTTAGAAGGTATTAAAATCATCTGGAGGACTTTTTTTTTTTTTTTTTTGTTGTGGCCTCTCCCGTTGCCGGACGTGCAGGCTCAGCGGCTCACGGGCCCAGCCACTCCGCGGCACGCGGGATCCTCACGGACCGGGGCATGAACCCGTGTCCCCTGCATCGGCAGGCTGACTCTCAACCACTGCGCCACCAGGGAATCCCTGGAGGACTTTTTAAAACACTGATTGCTGAGCCTCACCTCCAGTGTTTCTGATTTAATCAATCTGAAATGGTGCCCAAGAATTTACCTTTTTTTTTGGCCACACTATGGGGCTTGTGGGAGCTTAGTTCCCCAACCAGGGATCAAACCCAGGCCCCTGACAGTGGAAGCGCAAAGTCCTAACCACTGGACCACCAGGGAATTCCCAGAATTTACATTTCTAACATGTTCTCAGGTGATGCTGATTCTGTTAGTCTGGGAACCATACTTTGAGAACCAATGGTGAGTAATAGGCATTTGCTCATTCATTCAACAAGTATATATTCCAGGCACAATTCTAGATACTAGGGTTATAGCAGGAAACAAAAGAGACAAGGCCTCTATTCGCTTGAAGTTTAGTCTACATGTTTTTAAATGCTTTTTTCTTATTTTTTTAACATGAATTCCTTAATTATACCGAACTCTTTCTTGATCTTGAGCTTTTACACCTAAGGTGTTTTGCTTTTTGTAACTTACTTGAAATGATTCTCCATTTCCCCTTTCCTCTCTCCCTTTTTAAATCCTGCTCATCCCAAAACCAATTTGCAGCATGAAGCCGACCCTGTAATTTAAATTGTATTCCCCTACCTCAAGCCAGCCCTCCATTCCTCCTTTACTCTATATTATTTTCCCCAAACATTTAAATTCCTTAGGGGCAGGAATTTTCGTCTGTTGTTCACTGGTGTATCTCCAGCTCCTGGAAAAGCCCTCATAGGTAATTAGGAAATAAATGTTAAGTGCAGCAGTGTTTATAAGATGAAAAAGGAGAAAAGTAAAAGTGTTCAGCCATATATAATACATGCTGTAGTTATGATTAATGTTTAAAAAAATGATACATAGGAAAACACATTGGACAGAAAGTCCATGGATTTGACTGTTTCTTTTCCCCCCTTCTCTAATTTCTGAAATGTTTGTTAAAGAATTTTGAATTTCAGCTTCATTACTTATTAGTTGTATAACCTAAGGGGAGTTGTTCCTTCTATGTGCCTTGGTTTGTCTGTAAATTAGGGATAGTATAATGACCTACTTCAGGGTTGTGGGCATTAAATGAGTAATGTGCTTAGAACAGGGCCTTGCACATAGTAGGTGCCCAATAAATGTGAGCTACTACTGTTTAATAACTGAATATAATAAAAAAGACAGCACTAATAAATATCCCACTTGGAAGTGCTGCATTAAGAATGTTAGGTTAGAATTAACTGCAGAAAACCTATTAACTGATTAAAAAAAAAAAAGCTTTTAAAAAATCTGCACTCTTATGGACAAAACCTCCCCTAATCCCCATGACTTAATGTGATCTTTGCTTTCTCTGAATTTTTCTTGACATTTGCCTTGAAGTTTTATCATAACTTCATTCAGTATGCAACAAACATTTATTAATTGCCTACTGTGTGCCAGGCACCATGTTATAGTGGTGAACAAGAGAAGTCAAGAGGTTCCTGCCTCAACAGACCTTACATCTTTGGTAGGGGAAACAGAAGGAAACAGGTAAAATCATAAATAAGGTAATTATAGATCATAATAAATGTTACAAAGAAAGTTAAAATTGAATGTGATAGAAAGTAGCTGAGCTTAAGGGAGAATGCCATTTAAGAGAATTAGAGAAAATGATCAATGTTCAAAAGGAATAAGGGAGGGAATATGATAGAAAGTAACTTGGTAGGGGCAAGAGAGAAAATGGTCCTTTCTTAGTTGATGACTTTAATATTGATCTCTAGTTCTACAAATCAGCTGGTCTCTGACATCTAATACTGTTTTGAATGATTATTTACCTTTTACCTTTTAGTGTTATATACTAACACATGTGTACACATCTATATATGTTTCTGTAATATCCATCTATATATATATAAATTTCAAAACCGTATGTTCATATTGATGCCCCAAATTCCAGTCCAGCACCAAAGGTTTCATTGCAGGCTTCTCTCTTTCCTTATTTGTACCTTTTTTTCTCCAAAGGTAAGAAACTTGTCTCTTGTTATCCATAATATATATATTTTTTGTTTTGTCCTAGTATACATGTAGAAGTTTCAGAACTGCTAATCCATAACGCTGCAAAACAGCAAATGGGCTAGCTGGAGTAAAACATTTGTGTGCCATTCTTTTCATTTTTAGCTTTTTTTTGCCAAACTTAAGTTAGTTCCTTTTTTCTGTTTCCTCCTCCCAGTATGGTTGTGTTCATTTGTAATACAGTTAGGTTCATGTGGTACTGTTTGTATTACATTTTGGATTCCCCCTACTTTATAGCTGATTTTATCAATATTTATTTTTAGGTGTGTGTGTGTGTGTGTGTGTGTACACACCATTACCCTGTTCCTAAGCATCAGAGCTATACAAAAAGATGTACACAGAGACGTGTTGCTCCCTCTTCATCCCTACTTTCTTGTTCTTGTTCCCTTATTCTTTCCACCCATACTTACACACCCTGTAGGTAACCAGTCTCATTTGGATTTTATTCTCTCTTTCAAGGCTGATCTTCAGACAAGTTCTCAGCGTTTAAATCTTTCAGCCTCCAATGCTGCAGTGGCTGAACTTAAACCCGATTGTTGTATAGATGATGTCATACACCATGAAGTAAAGGAGATTGGAACACACATGTAAGAATTATTTTACTAGATCTCAGAGGCTTTTACTTATATATGCCTTTATTTGAAATTTTTGCTTTATTTCCACTTATTCCACTTGTTATTAAGCCTAAGAACCTACTTCAGAAGGAATTTTATGTACTATGTTTACATGCTTGCCAGAAACAAACTTTAAACAAAATGTTTATTTTTGAAAGGAAAAAATATCTTAATTTATCTTCACTTATCTCTAGTTTCATTTTTGCATCTACAATCTTATCTAAAAATAAAAATCCATGCAAACCTTTAAAACCCAGGTAGCACTCTAAAAGTACATTTATTCTTTTGAAATGCTAACTGATGTTAATAACATTTATTTTTAAATTCACAATTTTTCAGTTCTGTATTTAACTATAAATATACTCTACCCTGAGAGTTCAAAAATAGAGAACCAAAGTAAAGGTATGAGGGAAATAAAATCTCAAATTCTGTATTCCTGGCCTGTGTATGTATTTGAATGTGAATGCTGTATTTTTCTTTGAGAGGCAAATATGAAAATTTCAGCCATCTAAAGTAATTTTAGACTTCTCTATCTGCCTTACCACCCCCATATCCAGTTGATTCACAAAGTCCTGTTAGTTCTTGTTAACTATCTCTCAGTAGCCTCTCTTCATCTCCACTTAACGTCACCATTTTTGCTTCTCTTCTGTGTCTTAAAGAAATATGTAATATTATCTATTATTTAATTCATTTTGGTGACAAGCTCTGTTGTAGGCACTTTTTAATATATATTCTGTGGTTGGTATGAGCTTTGAGTCAGATTTTCTGGAGTTCAAATTTTACCTTGATTATTTATTTAATTATATGATCTTGGATAAGTCACTTAACACTTTAGTGATCTCCTACTACCCTTAGGAAATTCTAACTGTATAGGTTTTGCAGAGCTCTCCACTACTAATCCTTACCAACTACGTACTCTAGTTCTCACCTTTCATCATGCTTCCCTCCCTCTCTACTCTGCAGTCATATTGGACTTTTACCTCTGAACTGCTCTGTGACTTGAAATGTATCCTTCCCTTACAAAGGAATGCCTGTGTCATTTTGTTTAGTTTTCTTCTACTTCAGCATATCTCAGATTCATCATGACTTTCTCAAAGAGACTTTTTGACCTCCTAGACTAGATAAAATCCCCCTTCTTGTCTATTTTATAGCATCCACAACTTGTCATTTTTTTCTATGTCTTTTATGCTTGACATTACTTACTGAGTGCCTGCTGTTCCCATTAAAGTATGAGTTCCACAAAGTCACCTGCATCCCTGGGATTTAGCGAGAACAATGGTCAATATTTGTTGAAATTGATTTTATTGAAATGATATTAAATGTATAAAATCCCCATTTTACAGAAAATGAGACTCTTAGAGAATTTAATAGCTAGCACATAATGGCATAGAACTCAGATCTAAATCTAACTTCATAACCTGTACCTTGCTACACTGCTTCCAACTGTGGGCACTTGGAGAGCAGGTATTGAGTTTTGATCAACTCTAAATACCTAGCACCTAGTTTAGTACTAGGTACAAGTATAAAGTAGAAATTAAATTACCTGTAATGTCACCACCTAGTATAGCCACTATTATAATATTGGTATATCTCAATCCTTTATGTGCATATATATAATATATATATAAAACAGATGTGTATAAGTAACTTAAATAAGATTTTATAGAATTTTGATCATATTACGCATGGTTTTATCTTTATTAATACACCAGGAACCCAGTTGAGTCAGTATTCTTTGAAAACATTCTTTTTTTTTTTAATTTGTGGTACGCGGGCCTCTCACTGTTGTGGCCTCTCCCGTTGCGGAGCAACAGGCTCCGGACGCGCAGGCTCAGCGGCCATGGCTCACGGGCCCAGCCGCTCCGCGGCATGTGGGATCTTCCCGGACCGGGGCACAAACCCATGCCACCTGCATTGGCAGGAGTACTCTCAACCACTGCGCCACCAGGGAAGTCCGCCAAGCATTTTTAAGACTCCTTTCCTGAAGGATTCTTTTCTAAATTTCTTATAACCACCAAGTGTGTAAAGAGAGTCAGTTTCTCTAAACTCTCACCAACCCTGATATTTCTTGGAAAGAATTTTTGCCAAATCCTAAGATAAGGAAAAATCTTATTTCATTATTTCAATTTGTTTGACTACTTGTGAGGCTGAACATTTCCACATATTTGTTAGTCGATTATCGTACTACAATTTATGTGTATATCCTTTTCTTCTATTTTGAATGAGATATTGTTTTGCTTACAAAAATTTCTCTTCATATTGTTAGAAGCATTTTTTCCCAGTTTGTTGTCCTTCTTAAAATTTTGTTTTATTTTTTTTGATTTATCCAATTTCTAAATTTGTGGAAGTCTTTTCCTTTCTATTGCATTTATATTAAAAAGTCTTTCTTCATCCTGGAATTTTTTTAAAATTTGTATTTTCTTCTAGTTTATATGAACTTAACTTTTTACATTCAACTATTTAGTTATCCTGTGATTTATTTTGGTTTATGCTTTACTTTCTGAAGAAAAAAGTTTCTGACTTCCTGCTTTAAAAATGGTATATCTTATTTTACTAATCAGCTTTCTTTTCATGGAATTATATCCATATCTACTGGAACTCTTTTTTTCCTGCTCTAGGCTCATTTGGCTACACTTTCGTGTCACAGTATAAATATTTTCCAAATTTGTTGGTGGAATTGAAGTGTAGTAGATTAACTATTAAAAAACAAAATTGATAGTGATTCAAAATCATTAAAACATCTTTCTGTTTCAGCTTGGTGTGTGCAGTGAGTTATACAACTCAGGGTGGAGAAAAAATGTATTTTAGAAAATTCTTCAAATTTCAGGTATTGAATATGACAGTGGTAAATAGTGTTTAGGTGCCCTTTTTTCCCCTAGGAGATTACTACTATTTATCTGCAGTAAAAACAAACTCCAAATAAAGCAAATAGCTTAGTATTTTTTGGTTTGTCTTATTACTAGCAATCTAAAGTTGGACTAAAGTAAGTTAAATTAAAGAGAAATTATCATTGGAAATGTAATGTTTTATCCAGAAAAAAAATTTGTTGTGTTTTCATGCCTTGACAAAACCCAAAAATTTAGAAGATGGATAAAATGAGTGTAAAGTCCAGACAAAATAAATGTAAATAATATCAGATTTCTAAAGAAATATTTAAATGAGGGATTATTGTCTTGGGCTAAGTGGACCAAGCTTCCTTCAGAGACTTCATGAGTCACTGAAATTGTAGTTAGAATTTTTTATTTATACACAATTTTAGAAGTCCATAATCAAAAATAGTTAAAAACCACTGTTTTAACACATATATGTGTGTGGATAGGGAAATGAGATGACCATATACAATTATGTAGATCTAGATATGATACTATATATATTTTTCATTCCTCTGTTTGTAAGTGGAAGAAAAATTACCAGCAACAGGAAGAAAAATTTTGCTTTATTCTGTTGCTTTTGTTATCACTCATCTGTTTAAGATTTTGCATGTCTTTTAAAAGAAAATAAAAGGTTTGATTGCTTTTTTTGATAAACATCCTTTGTGAAATATATATAGAGAAATACACAAAAATATATGTGTTCAGTTTAACAGACTATTATGAAGTACAAATCCATATAACTCATGTAACTATTACCCAGTCAAGAAATTACAGTGGCTTTTTTAAAAATGCATTTGGGATTGTTTTTGTTTTTGTTTTTACAAGAGTATTGCATACCCATTAGAAAAGTCTATTAAAATTGGAAAATGCCTTTGACAAATTTGAGCTCTATGGTTTAAAACAGATAAACAAAATAAATGGTCAAATGATAATAATCTCCTTTGATTGATATGCTTTATTCAACTAGGTTCTCAAACCATTGGATGTGAAAACCAAATTTTACAATGCAGAGGTAAGTGTTGAGCACTTAATGGGATTTCAGGTTCAACATTAAGATCTTATTTGACTAAAATTCTCATGTATTACATTTCTTTTCATATCAGAGTAAATTGCTGATATGACTGTGAATTACTTGTGAAAAATGAGCATAAAGTTCAATTGAAAGTGAATAATTTCACTGCAGATCTTTTTTAGTCTGCTGTTTTCAACTGACATGAGATCAGTATGCCTTGATTTTTATTCTCGTTAATTTTGTGAGGCTTTCACCCTCTTTCATTAAATGATTGCCCTGTGCTTCCATTTAATAGTTGTTGTTACCGTCTAAAAACATAAGCAATCTGTTAAATATTTTATAAATGTGGTTGTGATATTACAAAAATTGAAGTGGTAGATCCAACCCTACAAAGAAGATTTAATATTCATCTAGAAAAATATTAAGTAGAGCTCAGTACATTAAATTCTTTGTCCTGGGAAGTCAGTGTGCCAGCCAGAGTTAGGTTGCTAAATTTAGTGAATGGTTTGAAATGCTCCTTGGGAGAAACAAATTTGGCAAAAATATAGGAAGAAGTAACTTTTAGAATAGAAGATTATCTTCTTTCCTAACAAAAGAGATAAAATAGAATTTTCCATAAGGAAAAGGTTTTACGGCTTGGATTTATTTTACAGTTCTATTTTATCCTGGTATCTAGAGGTCCAGAAAAAGCAGATTTCCTAATGGGCCTTTTACTCCCCCAAAATCATGTGTTTCATATCACAGTGATAAACTCAAAGATATTCAAATGCAGTATTTTGAAATGAAAATTTTGTCTATTACTCCAAAACAAGGTGATCAGAAATTTGTAGTCACATATCAAATTTGATATATATTTTTACCATCAGCATCTGAATTTTTATTCACTATAAAGTTTGTACTACAGCTGCACATACTAAGACATCTAAGATAAGGAACCTAACCTTAAAGTAAAAACCTATTAGGAGAAACGAAAAAAGTGCATAAAATAACAAAAGTAACTGGTATAGTATATAGTGAGACTAGAGAGCATGACACAAAAAGATGTGCTACAGGAACTCAGGGGATGTGATTTTGGAGTAGTCTAAAGAAGCTTCATGGAAAAGGAAGAATTGCATCAGTGTCTAGAAGGAATAGGTGTTAGAAACGTCTAAGTGTCAGAGCAGTGAAGGCATTCCAAGCCGAGTTGGAAATACAAGTGGAACATAGAGTATGTAGTGAAGAGTATATGTATTTGATGCGAGGATACAGTCTCATCAAGGAGATAACTAGATGTTTAAAGGCACATATAGGAAGGCACATATTAAACTATTTCAGGTTTTCTTTGTTGAAGTATGGTGGTACATTAAGATACTTGTCAAGTAGTTTTATCACACCAATATTCAGAGTGAGTTGCAAATTGTTTTTTAAATTGCTAGTTATTCCATAAATAACATAAAAGTAATATACTCCCCCAAAAGAAAGGAAAAAACCCACAAGTCCACCACACTAAAAAATAATTCGTTCTTCATTAACCCATATTCTCTTTCAGTCTTTACTCATTTATATATAATATTCTGTTTTTATAATCATAGTAACAGTTTTGTTTGTTTTTTCAGTTAACATTAAGTATAGACATAATTTTTAGTCTAAACTTTGCCAACAAACTTCAGCTAAAAAATTTTAGTAAAATTCTGAACTTTTGAAAATAGACATTTTTTTTTTAAATGAGGAGTGAACAAATAGCATTTAGGATCTCTCTAAGATATTTGGTATTACCTATTAGGCAAACAAATACTGTTCTGCCTGTAACATGAAGCAGATTCTATGGACTCCATCTAGGAAATTCAGGTAAATTGTAGGAGTTAATTAACCACACTGATATCAGTAGTTTATGTTTATTACACTATGCCATAGTCCTTACACAACAACTGTTATTAGCCCCACATTTGTCTCAAACATGTTTTTTATGCTGCTTCTAAAAATTCTAATACTGTGTGAATCACCTAAAGGAAAACAAGTTTTGTGAGAAACTTTGTTGTAGTCTTCTAATATAAGAAAGCCTTGTAAAAAAAAAAAAATTGGTGACATTAGAAGCTAGGTGTCAAACCTTTGGTCACAGCTCCATGCCAGGTACTGAAGAGACATAAATATAAACTGAACATCTTCCCAGTCCTCACGGTACTTAGATCTAGTGGAGGAGACTGACATGACATAAATACAGTGTAAGCATCCCCACCCACCCCGATCATAAGTGTACTTATTCTCTGGGAACATAGGTGAAAAAGATTTCCTGCTATGTGTTTGATGAAAGAGCTGACATTTGAGATGGCCCTTGGTAAATAAGTAGCTTTAGCAATGTATATGTGAAAAAAAGACAAACTGTGAAATCTGTTAACTCTCAGTTGTCTGAAGTGGTCTAGCCCAGCATTCCCTGAAGTGTGATCAGTGGAACTGTAATCACCCAAGATCCTCCTTGAAAAAATGATTCCATTATTAGATAAATTTAAGAGAAGCTATACAGTGTATATCTATTCTGAATGTGGCAGATAGTATATACCCAACCTAAGTAATCTATGAAGAAGTTACAAAGTGAGCAAAGAATTCATAGAATTAGAAAGGCATGGGATATACCTCTCTCCCTCAAGATATGCCCTTGAATATTTGCTCCTGTTTAAGTATTCACCTATAGTGTTCTTCTCTATTCATTTAACCTTAGCAGTTTCACCTTTTTAGAAGAATGATTTGTCATATTTCTTTGTATTACTTTCTGTTTACTTCCTTGTTTTACTAATGCTGTCTTGTTTAGTAAATTAAAAAAAATGCAGAAATGCATTTTATTTTAAAGTTAGTTATTCTTTTTTCTTTAACATTTAATCTGATTTTTCTAATTTTTCTTTTTTATTTTTCCATTAGAGTGACCTCAGTTCTGTGGTAATTTGATTTTTTATTATAAATTTATATGCTTTTCTTACTTACCACTTTTTGACTCTGCCTAATTAATCTCTCTTTACAAAACATAGTGGAAAAACAAAGTTAGTTGTGAATATACTTACGTGACTTCAAAAATATGTATATAATTTGTACTTTTTATATTGATCATCTTATTCTATGGGGAAAAATACATCAAAGATTAAATTGGCATATTGAAACAATTATATTCTTATTTTTAGTGTGTTTCCTGTAGCTATTTTTAAAAAGAGGCATGTTAACCTTGTCTAAAATAGCCTCAGGATTTTCAACCTCTTAATATAAAATATCCTACTATACTTCAATTCTTTGAGTAAACTGTGTAGTTGAAATTCATCTTCAAATGAGCAGTGGTTTTAGTTTTAAGTCTGGGTCAGGTAAAGATGGCCCTTTGACAACAGTAAACAGAAGAAAATTAAATTTTCCCACGTTGACTAAAATCATATTTTCAAATTTCTATTTAATATAAGCAGCATTTGCTTATAACACAATATATACATAAAAACATCAACTGCCTTAGCACTGAATTCTTATCTTAATTTTTTAAATGTCAAGTTATTTCATGCTAACTGTTCAAACTAGCTTAATTTTCCATTATGCAGCTTGTTTTTCTTTCATTTTATCTAAGCTCTTCTAAACTTATGCAGAAATTGCATTTTTAAATTTGAAATGTGGGTCTATGGTTATTTTTTTTAAAGCAATGGATCGATGGGATATTTTTTTTTGAGAAAAAGTAACAGAATAATGCCTTTGAATGTGTACTTCTTTTAAACTGATAAATTGTATTTCTATTTTCATTAGAGCACATGTGCCAAGGACTAAAGAATCTGTTTTGTTTTAGATAATAATACATTAAATTATAACTTCATCATTATATTTTTGCAAATGATTTCTACTTTCCTGGATTTAGTGTTTAAAAAGCTCATAAGTGCCAAAAATTTTTGGTCATAGTTTATTTTATTTCTGTATATATATTACTATGAAACTTCTGAATAAAGTAATTCTAGAATATCCTTAGTATACCATTTTATGTATAGGTTTTTATCAAAAATGAACCAAGTTTTCTTTTATCCTCCAATATATACCCCCCAAAATAACCAAATAGCATAAAAAGAAGAATGTTTAATGTAAATAATTAGGGAATTTAAAATACTATGTAAAAGTACATATGTAAGTTACCCATTGACTGAAATACTGCTGTATAGCACCAGTTTTCACTAAGTCACTAAGACCACAAAATACCTTTTGTTTGATTTAAAAACTTAAAGATTTCAAGTATAATTCACATATATTTTTGCTCTAAATATACATTTTCAATGAACCAAGAAATCACTAATGACTACTTAAAAATGCTTTAATTAAAAAGTTAAATTCTTATAAGATTATAAAATAGATTATTTGCTATACTATCTAAATTAAAGTAACATGAAAATTGAAATTAATAAATTATGCTGGAATATTATAACAAAGACCTAATTATCTTAACACATCTCTGAAATGATAGGTGCACAGGTAAATTCATTATACTAAATTGCATTTTCACATTTTAATGACTTACCAGAAAATTTAAGATATATGTAACTGAAATTCCAGTTAAGCATTTTTGGATATCAATACAAAAAATATTATAGTTATCCCCCATCCATTGTTTGACAGCTTACCAGTTGACTAACACTTGACTTTGCCCCTGTGAATTATGCTAGGAGGACAATTTCTTTTCTTGCATTAATTATGATAACTTTGATTTGCAGGCATGAACTAATCACATTTGTGGTTAAGGTTTTTTCTTCATATAAATCAGATATTGTTGTAGTGGTAAAGTACTTTAAACACCAGCATACTTTGGTGGATTTCTTTTTCATATTTTCAGACTGGTGGATTTCTTTTTCATATTTTCAGACTGATGAAGTATTTCTTGAAGCCCAGATTCAGAACATTACAACCTCACCCATGTTTATGGAGAAAGTTTCATTGGAGCCATCTATAATGTACAATGTAGCAGAATTAAATTCAGTCAACCAAGCTGGAGAATGGTAAATATGGATTATGAAGTGTTTGCTTTTATTTTGAAAGATACGAACTTTTCTAACATTGTTACTCTTGGGTGGTTTAAAAATTTTTTTAAGGGATAGACATTATTTTATTAGAGAAGTTTTAAATTCACAGAAAAATTGACCAGAAAGCACAGCATTCCCACATGCCCTCCTCCCCACTTACAGGATCCCGTTATTTACATCTTGTTTAATGTGACACTTGTTTTGTTTTGTTTTTTCCTTTTTTTGCTGTACGCGGGCCTCTCACTGTTGTGGCCTCTCCCGTTGTGGAGCACAGGCTCCGGATGCGCAGGCTCAGCGGCCATGGCTCACAGGCCCAGCCACTTCACGGCACGTGGGATCTTCCCAGACCGGGGCACGAACCCACGTCCTCTGCATCGGCAGGCGGACTCCCAACCACTGCGCCACCAGGGAAGCCCCCCAATGTGGCACATTTTTTACAATCGATGAACTAATACTGATATTATTAACTGAAGTCCATAGTTTACATTAGGGTTCACTCTTTGTGTTGTGCATTCTGTGGGTTTTGACAAATGTGGTGACACGTAGCCATCCTGACTGTAGGATATAAAATAGTTTCACTGCTCTAAAACTCTGTGGTCCACCTGTTCAGCCCTCCCTTCATGTGAAAATAAGATCCTAGCCATTTGTACTTGAAGCACTTATTTTTTTAAATTTTTATAACAGTTCAGTGAGATAAATATGGAACATTTCATCCTTATCCTACAAATGATAAAACTGAGGCATGGGAAGAAATGATGGAGAAGTTAGAAGGGGTAAGAGTAAGCAGTGAGTTTTAAGGAGTATTCTCTTAACATCAAAAGGAGTGAGGATAGGAATAGATGATTTAATTTTTCATGAAAATGAAATACACATCTTTATAGGTAATTTAGAAAAAGAAGAATAAATAAATGTAGGGTTGATATTAATATGGATAAGAAGGTAATAGCTGGAGAAAGTACCTGATTTTAATAATCAAGAATGAAAAATTTACTTTTACTTATTATGGGGCTTATAGTAAAGTTCATAGCCTCTCATACCCCCACAGAGGAAAACAATAATTTTCCACTCTTTTCCTGATCTTTTAATTAATTTTGAAAAATCATTAGTTTAGAATGGTATGTTTCTTTTTATTCTAAACTATTTGCTTTCATAATTTTAGAGAAGAGACAGGATACTTAAGGTTCTGATTTCTATTGTTTTTTTTCAGTTAATCTATGTATATCCAATGCTTCAGGCAATATATTGCATTATATTATAAAGAATCTCAAGATTTTCCATATCAACTGAAAAAAAATAAAGAAAAATAAGTCCTCTTAGTACAAGTCCTTTTCATTGTGTTGAAACCACCAACCTGTTGTATTCTGGATCTTTGGATGGTAAATTGTTCAGTTCCTGTCCAAAGGAACAGTCGCAGCTATGGTTTTTCTTCTAAAAGGTTCTAGAGAATTTTTTCCATCTCTATCTCCACCCCACAGTGTAACTACATTTGGGTCAAGAGCATATCTGCAGCCAATGGATACACGCCAGTACTTGTACTGCCTAAAACCCAAGAAGGAGTTTGCAGAAAAAGCAGGCATCATTAAGGGAGTAACGGTAATTGGAAAATTGGATATAGTATGGAAAACAAATCTAGGTGAAAGGGGAAGATTACAGACTAGCCAACTTCAAAGAATGGTGAGTCTAGAAGAAACACTGATGGGGGTTTTGGTGTGTGGTGTGCAGATAGTTAGAACAACTTAAATTTTCCTAGGTCTGTCACTAAAAATCAGAGCACTATAAAAGACATTGATATTACTGGAGAATAAAAGACTAATAATTTCACTGATATCTAGGTGGAAAATTGGTATTGATATGAATGGAAAATTTTCAAATGTTAATTTATGCATTATACATGGTTTTTTACTTTACCAAATTAAAATAAATGCGTATCAATTGTTTCCTCCTGTGGTAATTTGTCCTCACCGTTATCTGACTTCCACTATATTAAAGTTTTCTTTTCTTGCAATGTCTTGGAACTCTTGGACTTATACTACATTTATCTACTCAGTTCATACCTTTTTTAAAGATATGTAAAATGTGGGTCATCTGAAACTCAGGTGAGTCCCACTCAAATTATCTTGAAAACATAGGTTGGATATTTTACCTAATTTCTACTCCGAGAGTATGGATAAGCTACCAGCCTTCTTTTTCTTGTGCTAGTGAGAATATACTACAGAATCATCTGTTTATACTGAATATCACCTACTGTGATGTATTCTAAAATTTACTTTTCTTTTACTGTTAGAGGTAAAAATTGAAAAAAAAAGAGAGAGATTATCACTGGGCCTATTTTTAAATATAGCCATTAGCTATCATCCTGCCATGGCACTTTGATTCTGTTGTCTGTCCCTGCCAGTGTGTCTTGTGAACAGACATGATTTTCTTCTTGGATCATTTCAGTGACCTTCCTTTTCCTGTTTTACCTATGAAGAGTTACGTATGTATAAGCTACAGTATCTTTGGAAAGTATCCCTTTAAGATCAGACCCCCTGAAATTCCTTTACTATTTACCTGTGAGATTCATTTTAACTCTACTAAACATGGAGTAATTATAACAAAAACAGTCGGGGTCTGTAGTGCTATTCTGTAGGCAGTAGCAGCAAAAGCAGTTAGAATGACTGTGGTACCCTCACTAAAATGGAAAGGTTTTGTAATAGATGTATGTTAACTGTATTGCTTTTTCTCTTAGGCTCCAGGTTATGGAGATGTTAGGTTGTCTTTGGAGGCAATCCCAGATACTGTAAACCTAGAAGAACCTTTTCATATTACTTGTAAAATAACAAACTGCAGGTAATGCCAGTATTTGTGGATGGATGTCCTTTCTTCCTCACCTACTTGAGAGAATTTAAAAACTTTTAAATATGCTACCTACTTTTAAGTTTCCTCTTTCCGTATAGTCTTCTCTGATGTTGACATTGAATACTGTAAAGTTCTTCATCTGGTAGCTGTATATTACATATTTTAGAGGTCCTACTGTATTAGGCATTTTTTGTATTTTGTTTCCGTACCTATGAGGTAGGTATTAATTATTCACATTCTTTGCAAGAGAAAGCCAATTCAGAGGACGTGGCTTATTCACCCTCAGAGAGCTAGAAAAGATGGGATCAGAATCTGATACCGGGTGTATTTGACTTCAAAGTCCATGTTCTTTTCCTCATTTACACACTTCAGATTACTAAAACATGAACTAGCAGTTTCTTATAGAATAATACATTATAGAGTTACTGTAATAAGATAGATTTTTCTGAGCCATACTTATACCTGACCTGTATCTTAAGTATTAAGAAAGTTAGAAGTGGTTATGAATTTAATATAGGGGATAACCATAGATTGGAAAACAGGGCTTTAATAGAGTATAATCTGGCTATTGCGAAGCAAAGAGCACAGGGCTTTGAAGCCAGAAAAACCTAGGATTAAATCCCAGTCCTATCACTTTTCTATTACTTGTATTACTACTTGGTATGTATTATTAATTGGGGCATTTTGATAATATTGCAATGATGAATCCCTATCCTCTTAGTCCAAATGTATAATCCTTTTTAATTCTATATCCCTTACAACTTTATGATATTAGGGAGATAAGAAGTATTCATCCTTCAGAATTACAAAAATAACTACTTCCCCTGTGAAGCTTCCTAGACCCTCCCGTGCACAATCATCCTTTTCTCTGTCATAGCAAATTGTAATATAGTTTTTTAGTGGTATTAATATATTGCTATAATTGTTAGTCTCTTCCTCACTGAATTGTGAATAATTCAAGAAAAGGGATCATGTCTTACCCAGCATTATAAATGCAGTGCCTGCCACATCATAGGAGCTCAGTAGACAACACACACAGGATAAAGACCCTGTGCATATAGGGTGTGCTTTTGGATTTTTGGTTTGTTTTGCATTTTTGAGTTATAACAAATCAGTTATTGACCAAATGACAAAGTGCTGTAATAAAGAAGTTTATTTGGGTATTCACTTTACCTTTTGGCAATTCAAGTAAGTTTTCTAAAAAGCACTTGTTTCTTAGATATTCAGTTTCCTCATCTATAAAAATGGGATTTCGACTCCCCCCAACACACAAAGACACATGCACACAACATACACTTACCGGAGTTTTGTGAAACGTAACGAGAAAATTCATGCATTGCACCTAAACTGGTCTGTGGCACACAGTGAACATTTCAAATTTGGCGGGGGCGGGAGATGGAGACATATAAAAGCTAAATATCATTAAATCAACATGTCTAAAAATCAAGTTTGAGTTTAAAATTAAATAAGTATTTAAAATGTGGAGCCAACTCCAAGGAGAAAAAAATAGCTTTAAAGAGTTGAAAGCAAGTCATGAATGGTGGTAGAGCAGCAGACCGTTTTCATTATGAGCCTTTTGGTTTTGGTTTTGTTTTTAAAAACAATGTGCATACTTTCATTAAAAGTTTTTTTTTTTTAGCTTAAGTTGAACTGGTGGTATCAATTATAAGCAGAGGTAGTCTTTTTGTATTAATTGAACATCTGAATAGTTTTACTTACAAATCTTGCCATTATCTATGTTATCTGCATGGTAAAGGAACATAGATTAAATAGAAAAAGCACTGGGCCAGACTCAGTTTATCTTTTTCTTTCCTGTAGAGTGCCCTACAGAAATAGGAAGGATGCATAGCAACAAGATTAGACGCAGATGTCTGGAAGTCTTCCAGAGAAATGGCAAAACTGTTAACAGATCAGCACCAGGGAGCCAGTGTTCAATAACAGAACCAGAAAGCCTACATCCAGACAGGCAGATTAGTCAGTGTCACTGTAAATCCCAGAAGACACCACCTCCTTTCATTTTCCTGATTCTACCTTAAGTGAAATAAAAATATGATAGATTTTCATTTGTTCCTTGTTTTCTGTTGGACACCCAGAAAAGAAATTCACCCACAATAGTGGAAGAATTATTGCAATACCTCTTTGTGAAAGGAACAAGATTTATTCCTGTTTTTCTGATTCCTCCAGCAGTGAAAGGACGATGGATCTTGTGTTGGAAATGTGCAATACCAGTTCTATCCACTGGTGTGGCATTTCAGGAAGACAGCTTGGAAAGCTCCATCCAAGTTCCTCTCTCTGCCTTGCCCTCACTCTACTGTCTTCAGTACAGGGACTGCAAGTATGCTCTCTTTTCAGTAATTTTGGTATTTGGGGGCTATTAATCCATAGTCATTTATTATATCCATTCTTTCTCTGGTCATTACCAATGAATGAAAACTTAGGTCTATATTTTTCTCTCAATAGAGTGTCTCCGGCTTAAGACTAACAGACACGTTCTTAAAGAGAACATATGAATATGATGATATCGCACAAGTCTGCGTGGTATCTTCGGCCATTAAAGTGGAAAGCTGAAGAAAATTTCCAATGTTATGCTTGTCATTGAGTTTCCCAGAACTTTCTGTATTTTTGTCACTTCTGTAAAATGATCAAGTCAACAGTAGAAATAAGTATATATTATTTAAATTTCTTTCCTGTAAAACAGTTAAAATATTAAATGTTTGAAAAGAACCATGTACTGATTTTATCTTGTGAGTTACAGTCTAGATGAACATTTGTATATTTTCCACACATATGCTATTTTGTTTCATTTTAAATGACCATTGGACTTTGTTCTCCAAAAGCTCTATATTTGAGGCCATTTGTCCCTAGCAGGTATCTTGAATAATGGTCAGCAAACTTTTCATGTAAAGGGCCAGATACTACATATTTTAGACCTTGCAGTCCATGTGATTTCTATTGAAAATGCTCAACTCTGCTGTTGTAATGCAAAAGCAGCCAGTAGGCAAAAATTGCACAGCAGCGTTTACAAAAACAGACAGCTGGCCAGATTTGGTCTGCAGGCCGTAGTTTGCTGACCTCAATCTAGAAGATACAGTTGTTTCTTAAAACTTTAGAATTCTTATCATACTTTACTTAGAAGTATTTCCGTTAACCCCAGTTTTTTCCCTCAGTCAATAAAAAAAGTTTAAAATAACTGGGGTGGTCCTCATGTAATCTTGTATGTGCTAACACAATATGAGTTTTCCTAGTTGTTTTCAAAATTATTGTATTGGTATCTGTGTTTGTGTGTACATACATACAAACACACATGTCTAAGTTTCAGTTACTAACAGCAGATCAGAATTGGTTTTATTTCTTAAATTGTTGATTACTCTGTTAACTAAGAAGTCTGATAATTTTCTAATTCTAAGCCAAACAAGTCCTGTTTTTTTTTTCCCCACTGAAAAATAAGCCACTTATTTTCATAAGGCATAATTAAAGGATTTCCAGCTTCTGGTATTTGCTTTTGAACTCTACATCATGTATTAATATTACAAAACTTTCTATCTCTGCATGTAATCACACTAATTTACTTATGCCATATACAAAACAATGAGAAAGTTAAGACTATAAACAACTTTACAACATGAATGTAATAAAAGTTTCAATATTTTGAAAACAAAAGCTAATACTGTTAAATAAAAACTTATTTTGCTAAGTTGAAATTCAAGGATGTATATATAATTGCTTACACGTAAGAGTGCATAAAGTCAAATACAAAAGTTGGTTTTCCTTAAATGCATAATTATTTATTGCCATGACAAACTGTTTGGTCCAAAATGAAAGCTATATTCAGAATGAGATTTGCCCTTAAATTGGAGAGGTAATCAATGAAATGTCTGTGCAAAATAAAGTGCAAGCAGTATAAAATTGAAGTCTGTGTTTCCTCCAAAATGAGTACAATTGATTAAATGATGAAATAAGACTTTATAGCCACTGCACTGGGTACTGCGATAACTTTTCAAGCATCTTCTCATGACTGAACGTTCTGTTTCAAATTTTAAAAGTAACATACAATGGTCATTTGGAATCTGCTATATAATTTGACTTATAATTACAAAGACTCCTTTTATAAGCAATACCTAGACACATAATGTTCCTTCTTTAAGTAAAGGTTAGAAAATGTCATCTTAGAAAGGATCTGTTTAAACCATGTTATAAAAATTAGCTAAACAATTTGGTACATTAAGTGGAAATGTCATTTGCGTAAAAAGGACATTGTAAATTTTACATAGCATCATAACAGCTACAGCTACTATAATGAAAAGTGGTTAATGGAAGTCAGTTATTCCTAAGTAGAATGTATATAAAGATTTACTTTAATGCTCTCTTGTTTCAGACAAGCAAAGTAACTTTTGGAGCACTGTTTATCATTTTAAGAGTAGCTAACACAATACAGCTACACAAAACCTTCTTGCAATAGCGTGTAATGCAGTAATTCCAAAGTGATGAAAGTACTTAAAAAGCAAAAATGGCTTGAATAGAATGGAAATCCAGGTAAGTGGGCAGATTATCTAGGTTTAATTTGTTATGGATGGTATATTACAAAAGAAAGAAACTAGAAGGATGAAATGGAATACACCAATCCATATTACTTCATGTAAAAAGAATGGCTACCTTAACTACAGATATTAGTAAATCAAAACATTTGTTTTAAACTGTTTTTTCTTATAATGTTTTCAATTTTGGTATCAAAGTAACGGTGAAATAAAATGAGTTGGGAAGTGTTTCCTCTTCTGTTTTCTGTAAGAGATTGTGTAGAATTGGTATTAAGTGTTTGGTAGAATTCACCATTGAAACTGGACCTGTATCTTTCTTTTCTGGAGGATATCTTTATTTAGTGAGCTTTGGTAGTTTGTATCTTACAAGAAATTTGTTTCATCTAAGTTGTTAAATACATGGATGTAAAGTTGGTCATAGTATTTTCTAATAATCTTTTTAATGTCTACAGGGTCAGCAGTGATATCCCCTCTTTCACTTCTGATACTTGTTGATTCATATTTTCCCTATTTTCCTAGTCAGTCAGAGGCTTACCAGTTTTACTTACTTGAAAGCATTTTTAATATGCTCAAGATAGTTATGCTAGGAACCTTTTCTTACTCAACACTGGATAAGAGTGTTTTGGGGGGGTTTTTTGGCCGTGCCACACAGCTTGTGGGATCTTAATACCCTGACCAGGGATTTGAACCTGGGCCCTCAGCAGTGAAAGCACCGAGCCTTAACCACTGGACTGCCAGGGAATTCCCAAGAGTGACTTTTAATTAAGGATCAACTTTGCTTTTTTTTCACAGTCATCACTTTCCTATGATTAGTTAGTACTTTATTCTGTGTAACATTTGAACACCAGGATCTGAATTTAACTTCATGAAAAATTAAGTTGATTTAGATGCAATATAGGAGACTTAATTCAGAAGGCTTAGCTTAGATTTAAGTCCCGCTCTGCTCTGACCAGAACTGTAGGTTCATGTAGCTCTTCCTTGTAGCCTGAACCCAGGCAGTTAGGTGTCTGCTGGCCTAAAAGAGAGAAATCTCTAACCTAGTGTTGCATTAAATTAAGAGTCCTTTGGACCTACATCAGAACCACTTGGTGTGCTATTTGAAATGGTGATTCCCAGACCTCATTACAGGACCTACTAAATAAAAATTGAAAAGTGTGCCCCTGAATCTGCATTTTTAACAAATCCCCAGGTGACTCTTACAGTGAAATTATAGAACCACTGTTCTAATCTCACAAAGGAAAAAAAGGGAAAGTTGGCTTTTAAACTTCAAAATACCAAGTAATTAGCCTTTTGAGGAGAACAGTTATAGTAAAGCCCTGATCATCATTGGTATTACTGATTTAATTTTATATTACTTTCTATTTCAGTTTTCTCTCACAACACTTGTGAAATTTATGTGTCCGCCAACCTTATCAATTTCTTAATAACAAACCAAAGAAATTCCAGTTGGAATTAGAACAGTCTCATCCATCACTATAGTTAAAGCCATTCCACTAATACTTAGTGCCACATCTCTCCACTAATATGTATTCTAATTTCAATAAAATATTTCAAGTCCCCTGTTACGTTTAAGCTACATCAAATTAAGGTTAAGCATAAAAGCGACATGCCAAGCCAAATTATAGCAGAGGATTAACATGAACAAGCAGTGATAGTGATAGATGCTTTTTGTAACCTATCAAATAATTAGAGTTTAAAAAAATCAGTGTTTACAGGCACATAATTAAATGCCACCTAGAAAATCCTTAAGGGCCAAGCCATTGGTTTATTTAAATGTAGATATATTTGAGAGTTTCCATGGTAAGGTCACCACTGGGGAAATTGTGCTAATTAAACTGAATAGTTACACAACTGACCTAACCAGTATCATTAAGGGTTTCTAAATGTATTTTATTACATACTTAGCATAAGTGGCCATGCTAATGTTATCAATACCAAACTGTAGGCAAGATTAGTTAAGAACTACGCAAAAAACCTGAGCACCCTACATTCACTTTCTATACATTCACAGCATCTATTTTTTGCTTTTCTAAACAACACTGAATACTGCTTTCCACCAACTCTTAAGATTTCATCACCCAACAGAACAAGCAGCATTAAAGATAGTACTGGTCCATTATCATATCATCTATTCATTACTGATTGCACTATCAAAGCTAAACCCAGTAACGAATTTCTTCTCTCTAGAGATGTTGCTCAGTGGCAAGTATATTTCCCCTAAATCAGCATGAGAAACCTTTCCTCTTAGTCATCTCCCCTTTCAGAAAGTTTGCCTACAGGAATTTGGTGCTAGAGAATTCACCAGTAAACAGCCTTACTGTTCAATAAATATACTCTGCTATTAAATCTAGTATACAAATATGATGAAGATTTGAAAATGGAACCCTGTCCAGTTAAGTGCTGTACTGGCACTTAACAAGGCTACTGATGATCACTCATTTACAAAGGAATCATGTTATGTTCAAGTCTGTTTGTGATACACCTATTGTCTAGACAGATTTATTTTTTAGGTTTGTTTTTGTTTTGGCCACTATCTACAGCAAACACTTCAGAGCCATCCCCATTTGCATTCTGGGCTAGGGCCCCTGGTCAAGTCAGGAATGTTCTTCAGTACTGCTGCTGAATGACCTGCTCCGGATGTGATTTCTAAGTTGCTCTATAAGTTCAGGATTCTGCTGCTGTATCTGCTGAGCAAACTGCTGTCCCCTGTAGTAAAGAGGCAAAGTCATATGAATTAGGGAATTTCCAGTCACACAATACCAATGCAAAAAGAACTGCAGAAGATGTGGTACCGTACTACCCAAGGGGAACTTTTTCTATTAAAGCAAGTTTTAGATTCATGACTTTAGTATCTGCAAGTTTACTAGTGTCTCCATATAGTATTACTACAGTGCAGTGTTCTTCATGAGAAATGAAACACCCAAGCTAAAAAGTGAGTTCCTGGGGCTTCCCTGGTGGCGCAGTGGTTGAGAGCGGGTTCGTGCCCCAGTCCAGGAAGATCCCACATGCCGCGGAGCGGCTGGTCCCGTGAGCCATGGCCGCTGAGCCTGCGCGTCCGGAGCCTGTGCTCCGCAACGGGAGAGGCCACGACAGTGAGAGGCCCACGTACCACAAAAAAAAAAAAAAGTGAGTTCCTGAATTGAGTGAAATCCACCCCCAACCCAGTGCTTAACTACAGGTAAATAAAGGGCTAAAAAGTGTATGCTTTTATTGTATGTGCACAAATATAATGCAGGGTATTTGTTCTTGTAGTCAAGTCTTAGTCTCTCATACAACAGGTGTCACACCCATTTTGGGATGCTTATGAAGTCACCCAACAGAACTGATTTTTGGAAAGGCAAAGAAATTTAATCCAAATTCCTGAGTGTGTGCTTCCCAACTGCAAGTGTTAGGTATCACTATAATCATGCCACTTAAAGATCACTCTAAAAATGCCATATTTCAAGTGAGTTTACATAGCTGTGATCACAAACAGAAAATGATACTTGTTGCTTCATATAATTCCAGTGACAGCGTCACACAGACTCAAAAAGCACAGAATTTACGCAACTTGGATGGAGGTGGAGGTAATGTGTTCAAGTAATGAGAAGATGAAACAAGTTCCTTTAGCAATGAAGTGCACTGCAGAGTTTGAATAAAACAGCTGCCTAAGTTGTCTGAACACTAATATATGCAATATATGATTTTTAAATATATACGCGTACCTAAATTCATGCCTACTTTAAGTTTATATTTCACATTCATATATATCCTTGAGTAGCTATTCAAGTCTGCTGAAAAAGTTTTTCTTGGATCCAGATCTTCTGGATTCCTACCCTTCAGTCTGAAAATTTCAATTTATGAACCACTTTCAAATTTAATAACTAATGAGGTAACTGATACTAACAGTAAAAGATAAAAATTTAAAGAGAAAGCCTTGGTCCCCTTACCTTAGAGACAAACTGTAAAATATAAAATACTTTTTTACTATTTCTATTTTAAATAAACTTACGCTTGGATGAGGCTAGACAGGTCAGTTAGGCCCCCAACTCCAGCAGCAGGTCCCCCAATAGCATTTGTCATCATTCCTGACATTCTAGAGTAGGCAAGAGATATATCACTCAAATTGGCATATATATATATATATATTTTTTTTTTTGCTGGAATAAATTAGTGTATTTTTAAAAATTGGTTCACTGATTGATGTTTTTAGAATGTTAATTTTTTTAAAAAAGGCAGGACTTCCCTGGTGGCACAGTGGTTAAGAATCTGCCTGCCAATGCAGGAGACACTGGTTCGAGCCCTGGTCTGGAAAGATCCCACATGCCAGGGATCTCTAAGCCCGTGCACCACAACTACTGAGCCTGTGCTCTAGAGCCTGCAAGCCACAACTACTGAAGCCCGCACACCCTAGAGCCCACACACTGCAACTACTGAGCCCACGTGCCACAACTACTGAAGCCTGCGCACTCTAAGGCCTGTGGGCTACAACTACTGAGCCCGCCTGCTGCAACTACTGAAGCCCGTGTGCCTAGAGCCTGTGCTCCACGACAAGAGAAGCCACCACAATGAGAAGCCTGTGCACCACAAAGAAGAGTAGCCCCTGCTCACCACAACTAGAGAAAGCCCGTGCGCAGCAACGAAGACCCAACGCAGCCAAAACTAAATGTGACATAAAAAAAAAAAAAAAAAAAAAGGCAACCCTGTGTGGAGTCAGTCAGCTTTTGGCATCTTTGCCTACCCTTCACAATAAGAACCCAGAAATCATTATGCATATCAAGTGGAAACCCAGTCTTATAAACCTAAATAACCCCTAGTACTGATGGTCTATTATTCTTTTCTGAGTCAAAGCACTTAAAAAGAATTGGCATATATTCTTAACAAGTAGGATACCGGCCAAGGAAAAGCAGGTAGATATACCCACATTGTGTAGGTTAGGCCAGGTGTGGCTTTAAGTTCCAACTGACTGGCATTTGGGCCAGTTTTATCATTTTGGAGCTACTGTGCTCAAATTAGGAGGCTGGCAAGTGGAAGGGAGAAACGTAATATGCTCTTTCTATATACTTACAGCTGTTGAACTTGAGGATTCTGCATTAAACTTGCTGCCTAGAATTGAAAAATGGCATCTCCCGTTAAAGGCAGTTAATATTTAGGGATCTTTAACAAGGATTTCTTTTTTCTTTTAAGCAGAGGAGTGAAAGCTAAACCATGTGTAAACATTTTGTAGAGTTTTAGTGTGCTATACAAAGTGAGTGGGAATGTAAAAAAGAGAAGGTACTAGGAAAAATTGGTATTAAAAATACATCGCAAGAATAAAGAGATTACAAACGCTATAAACTAAGGATATTGACAGCAGTTTACTTCCTACTATCAGATCAATAAAGCCAAAAGAGCTTAGGAAACCACAATAGCCAAAATCCTATTAGAAGTCTGATTACTAGACCTTCCTAGGGTCACTTTCATGTAAGAGGGTGGTTTTTAACCTTTTGTAGATTTGCAGACCCTTTTGCCAATCTGATGAAAAATATGGTTCTCTCCCTAGAAAAATGCACGTGTCCACATGTACACAAATTTTCATCTACAATTCCAGGGAATCCATGGGCTTCCTGAAGTCCACCCATGGCTTTTTCACGGAGCAGTATAGGGGCAGGTTAAAACCTCAGCCATAGCTTTATATCACCACTCTCCTACCACCGCCATCACAAAAGCTCTCTTACTTGTTTCTAAAAAGTTTGGAACTATATAGTTCTAATGGAAAATAGAGCCAGCAAAGCAGAGAAGGAAATATACTCACCATACTAATGAAGGCTGGATTATTTATTAAGCTGGCCATGTCAAAACTCAATCCAGTTCCTGTCTGTAAAACAATTATATATGAAAATTATCTAAACACTACAATATGATTACAATAAATTGTGAATGACAAAATATTTCACTCATTTGGCATTAGTAACTTACAGGACTAGATACCTCTCTTAACTTCTGTTCTGCTATTTTCAGATTTGACTTATAGGAATCATTTTCAGGATCAAGATCTAATGCCTTCTGATAACTTGTAACTGCTTCTTCAAATTTATTCATGGCAGTGAGGGCCAGCCTGAAAAGAATACAGTGTAAGATATATGATTAAAGAACATCAAGACACCACAAATGTATTCAAACATCTATCTTGTACTCAATTTGAATCCAGATTACACTTAATTTATTCATTGTACAGTTGACCCCTGAACAACAAGGGCTTGAACAGCATGGGTCCACTTATACACGGAGTTTTTTCAATAGTAAATATAGAAGTACTACACGATCTGAGATTGGTTAAACCTGCAAATACAGAGGAACCACAGACGTGGAGGAACTGCGGGTACAAAGGGTTGCCTATAAGTTATACACAGATTTTTGAGCGCAGAGGGTCGGCACCCCTAACACCCACATTGTTCAAGGGTCAACCGTACTATGGCTAACAAGAGTATCACTTCCTTCTAATTCCAAGATTCTGTAAGTCTGGACTCTCTCCATTCTCCTTGGTGACAACCTCAGCTGTCCTACATGAATCAAGAACTTAATGATTAGAAAGGGAAAAGAATCTGAAAAAAAATAGATATGTATGTATGTATAACTGAATCACTTTGTTGTACACCTGAAACTAACACAACACTGTAAATCAACTATACTTTAATAAAAATAATTTTTTAAAAGAACTTAATGATTAGAAATGAACCTTACATACCCTTGCATTTTTAAGCCTAATATGTGAAGTAATTTGCTTTATGAATGATTAAGCTCCAGAAAGATGTGAGCTGACTAACAATTCTGTGGTCATATAACTCCATGATGCTAAAACCACTTCAAGAACTCTGAACTAGATTTGCCCTTCACTGTGTCCCACTTTCTTTCTTCCTTCTTAGCAGAGACATTGAGCCACAATAAATATCAATTTACCGTGAAAAATGAAAAATAAAAGTAGGCTGTGGGGTATCAGCTAACTACTCCTGAATAAGACATGTTAGTTGTTAAACAACTAACTAAATTGTTAAACAACTAACTAAATTGGCAACCTTTACACTTCAATAACACATTATCCCAAGCACAGGTCAAAGAGTTAGTTACTAAATTTAATGTTTTCCTCCACCTAGTTAGAATTTATTTATTGGAATATTACTCCAGAACTAAACAATAATGGTATATATGGAGAGACAGTATAGAGTATTTTTTTTCCTAAGTTTATTTTTAACAAATTACTCCAATTCTTTCTTGGCCAACTTATCTCACAGACTTCTGATCTAGATAAAATATAATGCCTAATCATAGAAAAAAATCTCAGAAGCTAATTAGTTTTCTACCAGTCAACCATGAAAGATACTTCATCAGAGTCCTCACTTAATTAAGTCAATACATATTTACTGGAATCCTACTAGGTAACAGGCACTATTTTAGATTCCTCAGTGAAAAAGGAAAAGTTCTTGAGTTTAAGAAAGTTTCATTCTACAGGGGAGGATAAGCAATAAACATGCAAATAAAAAAACAGTAATCTTAAAGAGAATGAATAGGGGAGCTGCTCAAAGGCAGCCATATTGAAAGGACCTGAACAATGAGAAGAAAGCAGTCATATGAAAATTAGAGGAGAGACATTCTAAATAGAAGCAACAATAAGCACCAAGGCCCTGAGAACGTTGCAAGCTTGGTATGCTTAAGGAACAGGACAAAGGTTGAGGAGGGAGCACAGAAAACAAAGTGTAGGAAGAGATGACATCAGGGAATATTATAGGACCATGGTTTGGAGTCTGGATTTTACTCTGGTTGCAACAGAATGACATGATGTGATTTATGCTTTAGAAAGCTCACTCTGGCTTCTCTGGGGAGAGTGAAGTGAAGGCAGGGAGACCAGTTAAGAAGCTATTGCAGCAGCCTAGGTACAAGATGGTAATTTGGACTACAGTTGTAAGCAAGAGAGCAATCAATACTTGAATTCAAGGAATATGTAGAAACTAGAATTCGTAGGACTTGCTGATAGATTAGATGTGTCAGGTGTAATAAGAATGAAGGATGATTCCTAGACTTCTGACTGGAGCACTGGGTAGGTAGAACGACAGTATATTTACTGAGGTGAGAAAGATTTAAGAGAACAAGGGTTCTGTTTGGGACATGTTAAGTTTAAAATGCCTATTAAACATCTAGGTAGAGATAAAAATAGCTGAATATATGAGTATGGAGTTCAGACATATAACTTAAGAGATCCATCAACATATACAGTTGATTCTCTTTATCCATAGTAATTATGCTCTAAAAGGTCACTGCAAATACTAAATTAGCAAATACGGAACAGTTGGTTCTAGGGGAAAAAAGAGTTGTGTTCCTGTGAGCCTCTGGTCAACAACATTTTCATCAACCAGTCAATACATAACCTTGATTTATGTATGTTTCTGTTTAAATAAACCTTATGTAATACATATCACTGATTCACAGCCAAGTGCACTAACTCATGCCTGAACAAAACTTATCTAACACATGTATTTTCTTGGTGAGGCACATTGCAGCCTTCTTGCATGCAAAAACAATAGACAACACTTCAGCCTATGTTTGCAGGCCACTGTAAACAGAGAAACCAACAAGAAAAAGCACATAAATGCAAAAAATATAGCACTAAATAGACTGTGAAAAGGACACTCATTTTACAGCATGAGAGCTGAAACCAAAAGGTAGAGCATTGCCTTATCTGACCTCAGCTGAGATCTTGCACATCAGATGACTCATTTTTCACCACTCTGTAGATGACCACAAAGCATACTGAGTACAGATTTGGAGTTACAAAAAAAATTTTAGCAAGTAGGTGAATCATAAATACAGTATTCATGAATACAGAGTATTGACTGTAGATGGAATTTAAAAGCATGGGACAGTGTGAAATCAAAGAGAGAAGAGAAAGAGCAGCAGCAGAGGAAAGAGCCCTGAAGCACACCATTATTTACAGGTGGCAGAGGAGGAAGAACGAGTAAGAGAGACTGTAAAAGAGCATCCAGTGAAACAGAAGGAAAACCACGAAGTGTGGTGTCACAGAAGTCTAGAGAATGAAGTATTTCAAAAAGAGGTTAATCATGGGAATTCCCTGGCAGTCCAGTGATTAGGACTTGGCACTTTCATTGCCATGGCCCAGGTTCAATCCCTGGTTGGGGAACTAAGATCCCTCAAGCCTCGCTGCCAAAAAAAAAAAAAAGGTTAATCATGCCAAATACTAAAAGATGGGGAAGGGTGAGGATACAGAACTGAATACTGACCTTGGAAAAATATAGACAACTGGGGACTTTGAATAAAGTTCTCAACAGAGTGATACAGACAAATGTCCTACTGGAGTGAGCTGAAGAGAGAATAAGAGATGGTAAAGACGAGACGGCAAGCACAGACAACTATTAGGGTCTTTGCAGAGAAAGAGGAACTAAGGAATGATGTAGCTGTGTAAAAGATGGTTCTAACAGATGATTTTTTTTTTTTTTTTTTTTAATGGTACGCAGGCCTCTCACTGCTGTGGCCTCTCCCATTGCGGAGCACAGGCTCCGGACGCGCAGGCTCAGCGGCCATGGCTCACGGGCCCAGCCGCTCCGCGGCATGTGGGATCTTCCCGGACCGGGGCACGAACCCGTGTCCCCTGCATTGGCAGGCGGACTCTCAACCACTACGCCACCAGGGAAGCCCTAACAGATGATTTTTTATGATCTTTTCACATGCAGTCATTAGCACTGTTAGAGATAGGAAAGCTGGTGTAGAAGATAAAGGAGATGATTACAAGTGTAAAGTCCTGGAGAAGGTACAAAGGAATGAGATCTCAAGCATGAATGAATGCAGTAGTCTTAGATAAGAACCCTTCCATTTTAACAGAAAAAAGGCAATCTGTGTAGATACAAGTGCAAGTAGACTGGTAGATTTGCAAGTAAGAAGATGAATCACTTTTCTTCTAAATACATTCTATTTTTCAATTGAGTAAAAAGTTGAGAGTCACCATGGAATGTGCAGTGGAAATTTGAAAAGAGTAGGTGTGAAACAGTCAACTCAGAGAGTCGTAAGGTGAATCTAGAAGGAAGTGTAGTAGCATTATCTGCCAAAATACTGAGTGCTTACTTGAGATTTGTAGCCTTGAATATGAAGTAGGTCTATTCAGTATGGTTGTTATGATTTTCTCCAAAACCAACCACTCATCATATACTAATCATCTCTCTCCCAAGTCAGAAACTGCAGTCATTTCCTACCTGAATGTTATATTTATCTTCTTATTAGTTCAGAGGGTACAATATGAAGCAGGAAATTCAAAACCAAGCCATTAAGAACAGCATATCTGATACTACTTGGTACTACTTTGAACATTCTCCCCAAACTTACCCCATTCTCCCATAGGCCTTGCTGTACTTTGAATCAATCGTTATTGCTTTTTCACAATCCTTTACTGCATCTGTGTAGTGACCTAATTTACTCTGAGCAGCAGCCCTAAGAGAAAGAGAAGAGATTTTTATTATAAGGAGCATTCAAGGCACTAATTTAGATTTCCAGGTGCTAATAAAACTACATTTAACTTGTCCCAATTTGTGTATCATTCCCAGTAAATATCTAAATCAAACTAAGATAATTCTGTAATCAAATGAAAACTCAGAAACAAAATTCAGAGAAAATATGCAGGAAATCTGCTTTCCCCAGTTTGCTTTGCTATAGAAAAGATAAATATGAGAACCCTACAACCGATCAACTGATCTACCTGCTTATTGCCTTTCTAATTTGCCCAAACAGAAAACTGAAAACACGAGGACATTTGGGATTACTGGGGAGGCACACAGAGTGACTGATTGCTGTGAATGGCCACTCAGAGTGTTATGCTGTTAAATGATCACTTTATTAGTAAAGTTAAGATCATCTACAAGTCTAAGATGAAAAATGAAACAACCTGTGTGCCTAAATCTGACTGTAAATTAAGTATGGCAATGTATTCCATCTACTTAGCACAGAATCTCAGAGCAATTAAGGACTATTTAAACCCATCCAAGTTACCTCTAACAAAACTCTCCTGAAATAACTGGGACTTGACAATGAAGCTACTTACCCCCCTCCACACAATCCTGATAGTATACAGCTCTCTGTTTCCCTGTAGTAGTGTTCACCTCAACCCTCAGGGCCATACTAAACAAGTAGAATTACTGTTCAACATGCAAGTCCTTCAAACTAAAAGGTTCCATAATGTCTCCTACCCTCCATCCCACCATTACCCCATTCCTTCCTCTCCAGAATAAGTATTTCTACCTTACACATTCAACTAATATATCTATTAAGGGTGAGCTAATGCACAGATACTTTTCTAGACATAAGGGACAGAACAGTAATCAAAATAATATTCCTGGCCTTAATAGTGCTTAGATTCTGGGGCAGGGGCAAGGGTGATGGCTGAGGGCTGGCAGACTATAAAGAAAAGGTTGTGGTGAGTCTAGTTTTCTGTCAACCTTTGTTTATACCGAATGACCGAGACTACTTCTCAAACTGAGATTATAAAATTTGAAAAAAATAAACACATAGTCTTCTTTGCTTGAGTTAAAAAATATAAATATGAAAGTAGATGATTCGATAAACCCATTTTGGTAGTTCATGTGGAAAAGTGCTATGGGTTTAGTTGACTGAAAACTCAACACAAAACTAACAGGATGGGGCTTCCCTGGTGGTATAGTGGTTAACAATCTGCCTGCCAATGCAGGGGACACAGGTTCGAGCCCTGGTCCGGGGAGATCCCACATGCTGCGGAACATCTAAGCCCATGCGCCACAACTACTGAGCCTGCACTCTACAGCCTGCGAGCCACAACTACTGAGCCCGCATGCCACAACTACTGAAGCACATGCGCTTAGAGGCCGGGCTCTGCAACAGGAGAAGCCACTGCAATGAGAAGCCCGCGCACTGCAAGGAAGGGTAGCCCCCACTCGCCACAACTAGAGAAAGCCTGTGTGCAGCAACAAAGACACAACACAGCCAAAAACAGAAATAAATAAAATAAATTTATAAAAAAGAAAAAACAAAAAACTAACAGGATGACAAGAATGTCCATTAAAAATGACCATTAAAAGAAGAGATACAGAATGTATCACTTCCAAATAATTAGAAAGAAAAAATGAAGTAAAAATAACAATCACTACAATAGAATGCAAAAGAAAAAACAAAGAGGAGAGGGAGAAGAAGACAAAATATAAGATAGCAGAAAATAATTCAAACATGTAAGTAATCACAAAGTTGCCTAGATAAACATCAGGTTCTAAAACTGTATACATAAGATATCACCTACAACATAAGCACACACAGGCTGAAGTTAAAGGGGTAGAAAAAGACAATGAGACAAACTGAAAAGCAAGCAAAACAAAGTGTAGGGAACATTAATATCAGACATAAGGCAAAGAACATTATTAAGGATACAAAGTCATCATTTATTAACATTCTTTTTAGTTTAATTTTATGAAAAACATTTCCATGACTCAGAAGTCAAACCTATATTCAAAGCCTCACTCTCATCCTCCAGAGGATGGGTGGGAATGGGGTAAATGGGATAGAAACAGGAATGACACTTCAAAAAGGATGAAAAAGAAAACCTTCAAACAGAATAAAACAGAAACAAATGATCCTAACTGTATGTCAAAAAGAAAGAATTCAAGTATTGGGTTGGCCAAAAAGTTCGTTTGGGTTTTTCCATAAGATGTTAATGGAAAAACCCGAATGAACTTTTTGGCCAACCTAGTAACTTTCAAACACAGAATTCTGAGTATATATCCTTAGTGAGATGCATTCTAAGAGTAAAAAATAAATTGCAAAGAAATCCTTAAGTTTCCTTAGTAGGCTTGCTTGTGGTATAACACTGGTGGTGTAATATCAGCTGAAGGATAGAGCTAATGAGTAAGTACTCTGGTGCTGTTGGAAAGCAAGGCTCTCTTGTGAGAGAGATACAAATATAAAATGGGGGAAAGTAAGGATAACCTCTGTGACACTGGATATGAATTGACGGTATCTGGATAAAGTGATGACTTTTCCAAAAATATATTTCCTAGCTCTGTCCTTTAAAAGGACTTAGAAGCAGTAACACTTCAGTAGCAATGATCAGGTCTTGCAATCAGATCTTGGTTTCTGCACTAAAAGGAACAGGAGCTCCTTGAAGAAACAGCTGAGCCCAGGTCTAGGGGCAGAGGAAGTACAAGGCAAATCTGGAATACCCTGTTCTCCCAGAAAGCAAGAAAGTGTTCAAAAACAAATGAAGGGCTTCCCTGGTGGCGCAGTGCTTGAGAGTCCGCCTGCCGATGCAGGAGACGCGGGT